AAAAAAAAAAAAAAAAAAAAAAAAACGAAAGAGGGTACAGCACATGCAGTCGAAGGGCTACCCAGAGACGATGCTGGAACGCCTGGCTCGGGACAGAGACGATAATGATTGGAGGAGGCTTAGACATGTTCAGATCATCAGTGACAGATACGATCGACACAGCTATCCATGAACGACTGCCGTGCTGACCAAGAAGAGTCTGAGTAAACGTAAAATACACTTTCGGAAGTACGCAGTACGAGCTCATTCTGCTTATTGGAGCCGGATTGCTCGAGCCCAAGGCGTTAAGACTGGGAGCAGCGAACTCTTCGAAACTGCGCAGAGCTTTTAAAAGAGCTTATGAAACTCAGAAAGGTGTAGAGTCAACAGCTCTATATACTGTAGGAACTGTGAGTGGCGACTATCAAGACCGCAAGGTACTGAAAAAGCGCTAATGACGCTAAATATAATGGGCCGGGTGCATTTTATCTTCTCAAAATTTTTAATTCCAAAACCTGCGTCTATTTCTTGGGATTGACGTTCTTGGGGTAGTTATTCGTGTCATTCCATTTTCAATATTAAAAGGTGATATTTTTGTTACCCGATCAGAAGCTAAGCGCCCATGTTAATGAGGTAAATATTCTGATGAGAGATTGCCCCATGATTTTGCATCATCCAGGGGGGGAAGGGGTAGGGTAACATTTTTTTTTTTCTCTTATTTTTGCGAGATCTCATTTCATTCAACGAGATCAAGTCAAAAGTACGAGTTACCAGGTTCCGATCCGCCCTCAGATATTCACTACACAATGGCGCTCTTATGTCAACGCAACTAAGCTAAACTCTAGGTGAGATTTCTTTATAAGGAATGGTCTTTAAAAATTTGCTGGACCTGCTAGCCGGAATTGTTTTATCCGCTTTGAATGAAAACATTAAAACTTGACTAACAGTAAAGTAATTAACTTGTAATTTATTACGGGATAATCACTTCAAGTCACGGCTATACAATCATATAGACGTTAATGACTCGAGAAATTAAAAGCAATGTTTGCTTTTTTCCCAAGAATAAATGAAAAAGTCATCACAATTACAGCCGGAAAACAATCTACTGTAAATAACTTAAATGCAATTTCTTGAAACTGGACGGCAAAATTATTGAAAGATCGGATTACATAGAAGCATGGATGGTGAAAAAAGGAAAAATTGTAAGAAAATGAGGCAGACAGGAAACAAAAATTAAACCAAATTGCATTAATCTTTAATCTTTTAGAATATACCATCTTTGAAATAAGATTTTTTTGTGTTAAAAGTCATAAAATATAATTATAGCGAAGGTGCAATACGCCAGGAACTTTTCGGTTAAAATGTGCTCTGATGCGGCGATGAAGTAGGTATGTGTTAATTATTAAGTAATGTCGTTCTGGGCTTAAAAGTTGAAGAGTCGATCTTGAGGGCTATAAGTACAATTAAATCACCATGTAACCTCTCTCTAGATCTCTAAGCGAATTGTGCAAATTTGATCTCAATGCATATACATTAGGGAATTATCTTTGTACTGTATTCACTTGTTTGAATGAGGAAAAAACCGCTGTGGTATTTTCGTATCGATCTGCCAGTTCCTTTAGCCGCACCCGAAACTTACACAATACATGTTCATTGAGATCAGGACATTCAGTTTAGAAACAATTCATATATACTGCAATCTAATTGTACGCTGTAAACAAAATATATGCTTACCATCAACGGTGAATGAAGACAAAAACAGAAAGGAGATGATGATAACGGCAGTGTAACCCATTTTAGCCTTCCGGTGTTTCAGTTTTCGTTGTCAGCTCACAAATTTAATTTTTCGTCGACGCGAGTAAGCGGCTTTTTAATTGCTCTTAGCATGTTAATGTGATATGGCAATTTGTTGGTGTCAAGCGGAAAGAAGGACAAATCTATTGTCCGATCCGCCAAAATCCATTAAGATCGAACAAAAAGCTTTATCTGCTAAACAAATATGTGAACACAAACCTAGACCCAGTCGGCGGGGG